TTTGAATATTTCTCTATCTTATATAAATACAATGGCAAACACACAATCTAAAATTGATTTATTAGAAGAACAGAATTCTAAGCTCGTAGCCGAAATTAGTGAACTTAGAAAAAAATATACTGAGGTCGAGGCTGAGAACTGGGCTTAAAACCAGGTTTGAAGAGCTAGAAAGGAAAAATAAAACGGATACCCTGGTGGATTCATTATAAACACCCTAACATTAACGAACTTTAAAAGTTTTTTGATGTACCACATGCCATGGTATTTTGTTCTGCGAATTATATAAAGCCGAGAACTTCATAATAATTCAAATCTATGAGTCGATCAAAATTTTCATTTATATTGTTGCGACAGGGACCTATAATAGTTTTTCCGGTCCTGGCTCTACCATGAGATAATTAAATGTCAACTAAGATATTTTGAAAATCAAAAAATATTTATTATCATTATCGGTCTAGATTAAAAGTTCATACTACTCTGTTTTCTATACAATGTTAATAATTATTAAACCATTTTATCTATGTCATTAAATATGTATGATTAATAAATATTGTTCCATAATTAATAATGTTTCAAATTATTGTGATTTACAATTCATCATGTGTAACCTGGGGTTCCTTATCAATGCGAGTTGTAGTTGATTTTTGTTCAGAATCAGTTTTGTTACTAGTACTGGTATCATTGACGTTATTAGTACTTTCGCTAGCGCTAGTTGTTGGTGCTGTCATTTTTTTCTTCGGTGGCTTCTTTGTAGCTACAATTAGAAATTCGCGTTCTATCTCCCGTAACATTCTTTCGATGTCTGCCGTAGTTAAAACAGGATCGACGTGAGGTGCAATTTTATCCTGCTCTATTAGTTTTTCATCAAGCCATTTCTCAACCCTATTACAAACATTCAATAATTTATCAAGCTCTTCGTCTGTATGATACCGTTCGATAGTTGTATTCATTTTAATTTGTTCTACAAAGCCTCGGGTATTATTTATGACAGATTGAATCGCGTTCACCGCTTCAGGACGTCGAGTGTGTTCATCACGCCTATATATAATTGGTTTTTCAAGTAACCTAATTCGTGAAATTTAAATATATTAATAATCGTTGATTAAATTAAAATTTTAATAAACGAATTGAATGGTTATCGAACCTTAAGCTATCAAGACGCGTTCGCAAGGATTCTATTGGGGCTTCTTCACCTTCTTCGTACAGCCATTCAGATGTTTCAGCAGACTTTGCTGTTAATTCTTTTCGTTGCTTTTCGGTACTAACTTCAATCACAATTTGATCAGATAATAAGTCTTGCACATTATAAAACATCTGTGAATCCATCATAATGTTAAGCGGATGAATGTGACGAAATTTAAGGTAAGTTGAGAAAGTTGAAAGGTTCTTCATGAAGTTGGTCAAGAACCGCATTAAGGATGTGCAAAGCAAAATTTGTCTTACTAGCTATAATGATGGGATACACAGATGTTTTAACTTCTATTGCCGCCTCAAAAGCTCCATGTTCAAAACTACCAACAGAGGGGCCTACCACAACGCCTATAGTTCCCTCTGGTTGTTTGGTTCTAAAAAGTACTCCTAACAACTCATCCACGACCGGACGACCTATAAAAAAATTTTTTAGTTAAAAATAAACATAACCAATTAGTCACCTATATTATTTGCAGTCTAATTTTTACATTGAATAATAAATCAGACTCCAGAGACTTCACAAATAATATCAATACCTCGTCACCTAGTTATGCAGTAGTACCCTAGCCATGGCGAAAAATGTTCGGGTCGAAAAATTCTTTGAAGTTTATTTATGATCAGATTAAAGTTTATATTAGAATTAAATTTTAGCAAAATATATGTAAAATCTCTCAAGGGAATTTTTTTGTTAGAGCGCAGAAGGCGGTTTCTTATGAAAATTTTTGAGAAATAAGCAATTTTTGAAGCGAACGTTTGTTTTGAATTTTCCTGATTGTTATGTTACATGAAATCGGACTCATTATTGGATAATTTACCCGCAGATCGTCACATGACCCGAACAGTTTTCGCCACTTCCCCAGTATCGCCACCAAAAAGTTACTATCACGTGACCTTCGATAAAATTCTTTAAAGCTTATTTAGGTTTG